TGGGTAGCTGCCTCCAGAGATGAGTGTGTCCTGCTTCTGAACTTGGGGATTATACTGTGTCTGTCCAAAGGGGAGATGACAAGGAAAAGTTTTAGACACATAAATGTTATGTTTTGCCTCAGCCAAAATGCCAGTTAACAGCTGATGAATGCTAATAGCAGCCAGCTCCCAAGGAGGGGGAGCTGGGTCCAAGGGATTTATGAGTCAGAGGCTCTGTGGAAATGAAGATGGAGGTGTGATGTCTGCAGGATGACTGCACAGGTTCAAAAGCACCTCCTAGAGGCAGAGATGCTGGGGAGCTATTAGAAGCACCTCGTAGAGGCCTAGCTCACCACTTGAGCCTTCAAATAGGGCCAATGTGGGACACAGGCCAATTGCTGTGGCGATTCACACACAGGATTTAGCCCCTGTCAATCACAAGCGCCCCCTTTTTTGACACTCCAAGTGTCAAACGGAAGTTTTTATAAATTCTAGCTGCAGAGAAAGCAAATGAGGGGTCACAGAAGGATGGGGGTCTTGCATCTAGTAAAATAAATGGGAGTTAAATATCAAAGAGCATTGTGTAAAAACAGCGGAGAGGAGCATTCTTAAAGGAGAGAGGCAGAGAAGGTCCATGCAACAGATAAAGCTGATCAGACAGGGAGTGGGTGGAGTGTGGCAAGGGAGGGGGAACGCTGGTTGGGGCTGACACTGCGAGGCCCCACTGAGATGCCCACAGAGAATCTAGCTGCAAGGAGGAGCAGTGGCCTTTAACAGCCTGTTCCTGAATGTCTGGCTCTGTGCTCTTCATGGTGAAACTCTGTGAGCAGACTCCAGGGGCAGGGGGGAGAAGCACTGTCAAGTTGGAAGTGCTGGCAGCCAAGTCTCTGGAGAACTGGATTTTGGTGAGGGGCAGGTTTCTGAGGAGTGTCTTTGTTGGTGGGTGCCCCCCGCTTTCCCTGGGTGACTTTGTAATACATGTTGTTGTGCAACCTAACTATGGGTGGCTGAGCCCAATCTATTGGAGTAGGTCGGGGACAAAAGGGTTCGGGCCTTTCCTCCTTCTTCTGTCTCTCCCTCCATTGACAGAAACACACCGGGGAGGCAGTGAGATAAGAAAATCACTTTACTCACTATTTCAGGCAACAATCTCGTACAGCTGTATCAGGAATCTAGTTTCCCGATTCCTCGGGAGCTCTTGAGTAAACTCAGATGGTATACCAAATCGTGATGGGGCCGTCCAGGTTTTCGCGGACGCAGGACCTCCGGCGAGGGTGATCAGTCCTCTCTGATATTACGTGGGTCTCCCCCATTGTTTTGGCGCGCTCCCCTTTTAACCAGGCAGCGTCTGCCCGCCCCCTGCAAATCAGCACGAGCGGGAACGCTGCTAACCGCGCCCATCACTCCTCCTCCCCATGCTATGAGCACGACTTGCTCTCACGTTGGTGTTTGGTCATATCTTTCTCATTTCTTTACTACAGTTGTACTTGCAGAGGACAGAGCTAGTGGTGCATGGGAACATTCAGGTTGTCTGGAGCTAGGTTCTGCATCTGGGCCATTAGGCAAGTATAGACACATGTGCCTGTACATGAAAGAAGCAGACTTCAATTGGTTGAGAATGCAGGACAAGTGGTGCCCACCCTGTCAGTGGTACGGTGAGTGTGTGTCTGTCGGGTGTGCTGTGTGTCCTGGGGTGCCAGGGGTGCAGGCCCAGGAGAGGGCTGGGTGTGCTGGAGGTCAGTGGTATGGTGCTGTCTTCTAGTAGAAATTAGCTGTGCAAAGCTTCGGGTGGTGATTCAATTCGGAGGAGATTCGGCCCCATTCGGTGGCCAAATCCCTGAATCCGAATCGAATCAGGGGACCAATTAAAAGGTCCAAATCAATTCAAAGCTCTCTGAATCAGGGAGCTGCAGCCACTCCAAATATAAGTACTAGGGGTGGCGGAGAGGGGCTGGGGGAATGGGGAGGGGACCATGGGGGAAACCTGCCAGCTTCCTGACCACCCACAGCCCCAGCTCCCGGCCCTTTAAAGAAAAGCCCCAGTACTCACTGGGTGCCGTTGGGCGGGGGGTGATCCCTGCTGCCCCCACACTGCCCCACACTACATGGGGGACTCTGCACAAGCCCCTTGACACTCCCCCAGCCCCCCTATGGGTGCCTCACCCAGGCCAGCTCTGGCCCTTTAAGGAAAAAAAAAATGGAGAAAAGCCCCGGGATTCACCGCTCCTGCAGTGGCCTTGGGGCTTTGGGGGGCTCATGCAGAGCCCCCCATGTGGCACAGGCAATGGGGGGCAGTGGGGATCGCCCCCATCAGCAGAAACAGTGATTTCAGGGGTTATCTTGGTTTGTTTGTTTTTTTTCTTGAAGGACCGGAGCTGGCCTGGGCGGGGCACCCACGAGGGGGGCTGGGGGGTGTTTGGGGGGCTTGTGCAGAGGGGCAGCGGGGATCACCCCCCAGCCCGGCAGCACCTGGAGAGTAGGGGCTTTTTTTTTTTTTCCAAAGAGCCGGGAGCTGGGGCAGGCGGGGCAGCCATTGCCAGGCTGGGAGAGTGGGTTGGGGATAGGTCTGGCCTGGCTGATTCAGAGATTCGGCAGCAGCTGAATCTCCGAGTTGGATCCAGCCGAATCAAATCAGGACAGTGATTCAAATCACCGAATCCAATCACTGTCCCCCGAATCGGCTGAATCCAAATCCGAAGCAAACACTAGCCACTTCGCACAGGCCTAGCAGAAATGCCAGTAGCACCCGACTGGCTTCTGCAGCCTTCCATTTTGCCTTTGGGCCCAGGACTCAACTCCGTGTCACCCAGATGTCCTGCTTCACCCCCCAGTTGCCAGGTGCAAACAGTTTACCTGGGATCAGCACTGGGGTGAGGCTGGGCTTCCAACAGGGTTGGGGTCAGGTGTAGTTAGATGGGGAATGTGACTGAAAGGCCCCTGTCCATGCCCTGCCAATGCCACTGGGCAGATGATGGACAACCTGTGAGTACCACAGACTCTCGGTCTCACAGCTGCCAAACCAAACCTGCAACTGCTCATTCCTCATGGTGTGTGTGCGGTGGTGTTTGGGGTCCTGCTGGGAAGCAGGCTGGTGGAAATGGGCATTGCTCGACCTTCATGATAATCTCGGCCATCTGGAATAATTCCCACTCTCTCCTTGCACCAGTTGCTTGCCTGTCAGGAGCCCTCTGCGTACAGCTCCCCTCTCTTCTCACCACTCATGCCTCTTTGGAGTTTTTATCTGTGTTCACCCTGTTTCCTTCATGTTCAGAGGCCAAGCAAAGTTGATGTCTCGTGTCCACAGCACAGGAGAGATCCTGGCTGGAACAATTCAGCAGCGGATGCTGACAAGCTGTTGCCTGGTGACCAAGGGCAGCACCTGTTAGCACAGCACCACTATGAAGGAACAGGGGAGGCAGTCGTGTCCAAGGTCAGGAGAAGGAGGCTGTCTTCCGGCTGCACTGGCCTGTCAGGGGACCTTGGGCAAGCCACTTCAGCTGGCTTGAGTTCTGCTCTCACTGTGCTGTCCATGCTGTTATGAAGCTGTGCAGCCCATCCTCCTGCTCTTCCCTGAGCAATACAGCCAGTTGTCTATGGGTGGGCCATTTCAGGGGAGCTTGAGACTGCTTCAGTCAGCAAGTAGTTGTTGCGTCAGGGAGGCAAGTAAGTGAGTTGTGGCTGAGAGAGCCAGTGGTGAGCAGTCAGTGAACTAGACCCTTGGCTGGTATAAATGGGCACTGCTCTGACGGCAGTGGAGCTCTGTTGATGAATACCAGTGGAGGCTGTGGCCCCACAAGTGCACTCAACACTCCCCAGAGTTTGAAGGCTACAGCAACCCCTGGAGGTGAAGTCCCCAGTCTAATGAAAGGGCTTTGCCAGGCCCTTTGGAGCGCAGGAGTGGGGTGATGCTCACACTTTGATAATAGTTCAGAGTAAGGAAGGGTCCCAAAACACTGCCAGTGCCACCCAGGCTCTCCCTCGCATGGGTTGCTTGACCAGAATCAAGTACTTCCTTAGGCTGGTTGCAGGGAGTGGGGTAGGACACAAGGGGGCCACCACTGGGCTTACATGGGCAGTTTCCATTTTCTTTTGAATTTCTGGAATTCAGAGCTAGCTTTGCACCTTGCAGCAGGGGCCCATCCCTGCTCCTTGTGTAAAGAATATCAGCCAAGACCCCATCGCTGCTGAGGACAGGAAACCATATTTATTTGCACTAGGTTGGAAAGACATCTCTACAGTATACACAGTTCCCTCATTCCCAGACAGACCACAGCTCTCCACATGTACAAGGAAGAGCTCCTTACACAGGGGCAGTGGCATACCAGAAGTGTATGCAGAGGCAGCTTTGAAGATAGTGGACAGGTTTTAGTGGCAGGCATGTCACAGAAGCTGGCTTGCCTGATGCATGCCCTTGCTGATGTCTGTTCTGTGCCCTGAAATCCCAACAGCCTAGTCCCCTGTCCCATGGGGTGTGCTGCCTGCACTTTATGGTCCCACCTAGTATGTTGAATACAAGTGCTGCCCTGCCCTGCCCTGCCCTGCCCAGTGGGTGTAGGGGATATTGGCAGCTGACAAAGAAAAGCCATGCTAGGGAATGATGACTCCTTGCCCAGAGCTGCCTGGGGGTCACCAGCTCAAACAGTGAAAATGCAACAACAGGTCCTGCAGGGTGAACAATGAGTGAGCAGTGTGGCTCTTGGGGTGAGTGGGGAAAAGGTGGCAGGGATTGTGGGGTGAGATGAGCACCTAGCCAAAGCCATAAGTATAAAGCATAAGTACTTGCCTGACATTGCAGGGGGAGTGGGGAGTCTGGGGCCAATGCAGTGGTACCAAATGGGTGCACATGGCTGAAGGACAAGACACAGAGCTGTGCTTTTCTTTAGGGTGCAATAGAGCAGGGTGCCTTTCAGTGCTCCCTTCTCTATGCTGCAGGTTGGAAATCTGCCTCCTGGGCATCTGTACCATGATGTACCATGTCAGCAAGGCAGCAAATCTGCCTAGCTAAGGCCACAGCAAGGCAGGGAACAGTGAGATTGGAAGGAAGGTGTACAGAGTGTGTGGAGCCAACCAGGGTGCAGTCAAAGGAGCTAGTGCTCAGCTGGAACCCAGCAAGCTTTAGTTCTCCTGGCCTGTGGAGCAAGCATGAGCCCAGGTCTGTCCTCTAGGATGGGCATGTGCAGGTTTATGCTGTCTCAGGGGCTTTGTTTCTGTGCTTGGGAGAATATCACATCTGTGATGCAACAGGAGAAGTGGCAAGTCCAGGGGGAGGAGCAGGATTCCTGGGTTTCCGTTGTGGGGCTCTCTGCACCTCGATGACCTCTCTGTGCTTTCCAACACCCAGAGAGAAGGGGTTGTGTCTCCCTGTTTTCGGCAGCACAGTGTGGTTAGTTGAGGAAAGAGCCTGGCTACTAGGAAATATGGAGAGGCCGGGAGGAGCCTGATGGGACCACAAGGGATGCTGGATCCAGCTCACACCCATTCTGCTGCCCATTGTTCTCCTCATTCATCTGGGACACCTCGGTGGAGCCAGCATCAAAGCCAGGCACCATGTGGGCAGCATGCACAACATGGACCTTGTTCCGGGCCTTCTTCCTCAAGAGGCAGCTGAAGACCTTCTTGAAGCCCTTGCGGAAGTGCTTGGACACAAGGGCATAGACAATGGGGTTGAGGCAGGAGTTGGCATAGGCCATGCAGTGGGAGAGCAGCCGGAAGGCATAGGTGGCCTGGTTGAAGGGGAAGTCCCCATAGAGGTAGCGGAGGATGACCACATGGTAGGGCAGCCAGCACAGGCAGAAGAGGATGGTCACAATGATTATCATCTTGGTAACCTTCCGCTTGGCCTTTTTGGATTCAGACATGTCTTCCAGGGGGTCCACGGCTGTCCACAGGTACTTGATGGTCCTGGTGTATGAAAGGCTGACTATTAGCACCGGGATCACATAACCAAAGGCAAAAGTGCTGGTGTCCATGATCTTGCGCTTCCACTCCTCCCAGCCAGGCATACAGATGTAGCTGGACTCCCACTCAATCAGGTCATAATAACTCAGGTATGGCCCAGCAAAGACCACTGAGAGACCCCAGATCACAGCCATGGCTGCCACTGCATTGTAGGGTGTTCGCAGCTCCCGAGAGCGCAATGGGTAGCGGATGGCCAGATACCTGGAAAGGAAACCAAAGCAACGTGGCATTAGACAGATTCAGGACTCTGCTTCAGCCATGAACCACTAGTGGGATTCTTGCTGCCCTGAAGCGGTGGGTCCCTCTCCCTCTTTAGCATGGCCACCATCAGCAAACAGCTTCAGTGTCCCTCATGTCACTAAAGGGCCCAAATGCTTTCCCAAGTCTTTGGCCCACTCAGGACACATCCTAGCATCCAGCAGCATTTTCTTGCTAAGAGGATGCTTCCCTCGGTTTCTAACACACACCCTATGTCAGCGATCTCCACACAGGAAATACTGGACCCATTTCCCAGAGCACATCTGGAGAGGTTAGGTTGAGGCAACCATTCAAATAACACCAGACTCTCTCCCAACCCTAGCTGGTATGAGAGAGAAGACCAGATATAGCTCCTGGACTCAGACCCCTTCACCTGGCAGCCCAACCTGGCAAGACCCTGACTTTTATCAAAGCTGCTCTACAGCTTGGAAAAGATGGGATCTGATCAAACTCCTTGTACTGCCTGCCCCCAACTCCTGACCCTAGGTTTAAGCCCTTCAGGGTGCTTTGAGCATTGATTATTGCAGTGATGGGAATGGTACAAAGCCGCAAAGAAGCAAAGTCAAAGGGAGACTTTCCACTGACTTTCACGGGTTTTGGATCAAGCCAAGAAGGCCCAGTCTGGGCAGCCTGGAAGTGCCAGAACAGACCATTCTTCCCCTTGATGCACAGCTCATCTCTGAGACTGTTTTCCAGCAGCTCCCTGCCTGTCCACAGGCAGCAGCATGTATGGAGCAGGTATGGTGGGAAGTGCCTCTGGCAGCTCCCTAGGAACCACTGTGGGGTGAGGCGAGCAGAGCCACCTCCAGATGGAACAAGATCGGTTTCATTCTGTCATACTTATCAAGAGGCAGAGAGGACAAGTGGCTGATGGGAACATCTGTCCCCAGTTCCCCAAGGAGAGAGGAACATGTGTTTGTGTGACAGTCCCCTGACAGTGGCTGACAGCTACAAAAGGAGACAGCTTGGAGCTCTGCTTCCCTGTGGATAGGGGAGTGCAAGGAGGGGGTGTAGATGTCAGTGCAAGCAAAAGCCCTTTCACCCCTCTTGTCTCCATCCCTCTGGTTCAGGCAAGGAGCAATGCTTGGTTGGCACAAACTCTACCCTGTCCCTGGCAGCAGAGCATGGAGGAAAAATGCAGCCAGTACAAAAGGTTGCCCCCATCAATATAATGACTTGTCTCTAACATCCCTTTCATTCAAAAGGACCCTTTCTCCCATTCTAACTACATATAAGGTGGCTTCATCCAGTGCTGCTGTGCAGCCTCCTCTGGGGTAGAGCAAAGCAGCCCCTGTGCATCAGCAATGCCACACAGAAGGGATTGTGAAGAATGAGCTCAAACCGGGTGGGCAGAAGCCTGTGCTAGGATATTCCCTTGGGAGGCCCAGGGGTTGTGACACAGCCCTGGGTCCAAGGGGACTGGGCAGACTCATTCCCCCACTGCAGCACTTTGAGCTCATGCTTACTGAGCACAGCAGAAGGTGCCCTTCATCATCACAGGGCTGCATCCCCTCCCATGAAGACGTGGCCCAGTCTCATGAGCTAGTTGGGGATGGTCAGAGTCAGACCTTAGGAGGGAGGCCTCCCATGGCTGACCCCAAACAGCTCTGCAGAAAGTGCCTTTAATGATTCACTGGCCACTGTTCTCAGCAGTGTCCTGGGATGGTGCTAAGGGTACACTCCTCCAGGAGCTGTCCCAGGTGATGAGATATAAAACTCAGGTCCTGGCTGCAGGTGATCTCACAGCATCTTTTATTCTGGCCCTGATGTCCTGATCCATGTCTCATGTACCTTCATTCCTCCTTCCCCACTCCCTTCCATTGGATACAGCATCCTTACCCTTCCTATCCTAAACTCTTGCCCAGCCTTATAATGCAAGCCTTTGTGTGTGATCCCATCATTTGACAGCTGCCAGGCCAGACTGAGCGCTAACCAAATCAACACAGCTGCATGGAAGGTAACAGACTCATT